CCCCAGCAGCCGTCTGAGGTCTGTTCCCATGACACTCAGTCTAGAGGTGAAAAGACGGACTCAGGGCGAAGAAGCCAGGCCCTTGTTGGGTGGCCCCAGTCAGTGGCTCTCCCTGAGCCCCGGTTTCCCAAATGGGAGCATCATGGCCCCACTTCACGGCCAAGGGGCTCCTTTGAAGCCCTCAGTGCTGACTGGGACACAAAGCACACCCCCATCCAAGGCCTTTGTCCCGGGCGAGGACGCAGCACCCACGTCCCCGAGAACGCTGCAAGGGCCTGAGTGCAGGGGGTCGGAGAGGAGCCCAAGGCACCTCCATTCACCCTTTGGGCCTTGCCCTCCGATGGGCGGGGGTGTGGTGGGTGGCTGGCATCTGGGAGAGCCAGAGTGGGCGGCAGTGGGAGGCAGGGTGCCACAGTGGGCTGTTGGGACAGGGTGCCCATGAGAAAGCCGGGGCGGCATGCCAATGCCCTACTACCGTCTCGTCTGTACCCAGTGAGGGGCCCCTGAAGCCAGACACAGACTTTAGCCGGTGGGGTTAGGTCTGGGCCTGAGGGAGGGTTCGAGCAGCCCCTAATGTGCTTCTCCCCATACCCCCCTCTCCTGTTCCAGAACCCGGAGCTCTGAATATCAGTTCTGGAGCCCAGGGGACCACGATACACTGGGCAGGCCAGGATCAGGCTGCAACGTATTGCATCGAGGCGCAGCCCCACGGCCACAGCAGGAGCCATCCCACCTGCAACCTGACGGCGCCTGTGGCCGGAATGGGTACGGAAAGTCGGGCCTCTGCCTCCCCCTTACACGCCCTGGCTCAAGCCCAGGGATGGTCCATGCAGGGTGACTGAGGCCCAGAGCAATGGCTCCTCTTGGTCCAGGTCCCACAGCAGTGGGGACAGGCTGAGGCTAGCATGCTCTCTCTCACCCAAGTGGGTCTGGAGGCTCAGGGCTCAGCCCTGGGCAGGTCGCACCCTGGGTAATGAATCACACATCCTAGGGTGTTTGTTCAACAATCACCTGCACTGGGGAAGGTGGCCGCTCCCCAGACACGGGTGACAAATTATTCACAAGGCTGCTGAAAGGAAAGGGGAGGGGTGAGGCTTGCTGTCCAGACAGGCTCCTGCTCTCCCGCCATCTCTCCTGGGCTCTGCAGGGGCCCCGAGGAGCCTCAGCTTGCAGGGCGCAGGCACTCTGGCCCCTTGGAGCCAAGGCGGAGCTGGAGAAGGAAGGTGGGTTAAGAGCAGGCTGTATGAACGGAGTCCTGGAGGAGGAGACATTGACGCAAGGGCTTTGAAGCACGAATAGGAGTTCTCGGGTGGGGGAGGCAGAGGTGGGGACAGTCTTCTTACCGATCTAGCCTTTGGCCATTCTTCCAGTGACCCACAGCTGGAGCCCGTCAGAGGCAATGGACCAGGAAGGGTGTTATCGCCTCACCATTTTTGCCACCTCCCACCCAGAGAAGCCCACTTTGTGGTCCACCGTCCTGTCCACCTACCACTTCTGGGGCAATGGTAAGTGGTTCCAATCTGGAGGCGACAGGAGCATAGAGAGGCACCTACTGTGCGTCGGGAGAGAGCAGTCCCTGGAGAAGGACATCATGCTGGGTGAAGTGGAGGGGCAGGGAAAACGGGGCAGGCCCCCCATGGGGCAGATTCGACACCGTGGGCAACCACGGCTTCAAGAGAGGGACCGCTGTAAGGATGGCGCAGCACGGGCGGTGTTCCCTTCTGTGGGGCTCACTGTGTGTTGGAACTGGCCTGGCAGCACTGAACAACTGTATGCCAAGGAGCCCCGGTAGCTTATCGAGCTAACAATGGGTCAGCAGTTCAAACCTACCAGCTGCGTTGGGGGAGAAAGATCAGACTTCCTGTTCCCTTAAAGATTTACAGCCTCGGAAACCGTGGGGAGCGGTTTACTCTGAGTCCGAATTGACTCCGTGGCTGTGGTTTGGTTTAGACTATGCATGGGCGGGGGGCCGGGAGGGGCAGTGGTAGAATTCTTGCCTTCCAGGTCTTGCCTTCCAGATGGGAGACGCGAGCCTTGGCATAGCAGAGTGGTTACGCGTTGGGCAGCTGATGGCAAAGTCAGCGGTTCAAAGCCACCAGCTGCAGCTCTGGGAAGAAAGTCCGGGCTTTCCACTCCCATAGAGGGTTAGAGTCCCAGCAACTCGCAGGGCCGGCCGTTCTCCGCTGCCCTGGAGCGTTGGCCTGAGTCCGCCTGGACTCAATGGCAGTGAGGCTGGGTTTTCGGATTCCGCTTACCCGCGAGGCGCCGCAGACTCCGTGGCCAGCGCTCTGCTGTGGGTGGGGCCCGGGGCTGGGCAGCTGCACAGGTTCCAGCTGAAGGAAGAAAGGCTTGGCTATCTTTTTAAAGAAAAGCAGCCCCCGAACATCCGGTGGTCCAACCCACAGGACCAGCGGTCAGCGTGGTGGGCTGTGAAATCACCCTGAGTAGCGTGGCCCCATTTTATAGATGATAAAACTGAGGCTCTGAGAGGGGAACCGACAACTAGGAAGCGGTGGAGTCAGCATTCAAATGCATAAAGCAAGCGCTGGGCTGGAGAGGGGGACTGGGTTCTGGGGCATCACAGCAAAGGGGTCCTAGCGGACCGGGCACCAGTGCCAGGCTTTGATGCACAAACGAGGCCTTGGCTTTCTTTTCCACACAACGGGAGGGGGCTGCTTAGGATAACGTAGGAGTCAGCTGAGCGGGCTCGCAGCCACCTCTCTCTGAGGCCAGGGTCCCTCCCGTCCTTGGGGGGTGCCGGGGCTGGGTGCACAGGGAATGCTCTCGGAGCTGACGGTGGGGGCTGCCATTGCAGCCTTGGAGGCGGGGACCCCGGAGCACTTCTCGGTGAAGAAGCACGGTGCAGGCTCGGTGTCGGTGCACTGGGCAGAGTCGGCGCTGAGCTCCTGCCCCGGCATCCTGAAGGGGCACATCGTGAGCTACTGGCAGGAAGGCAGCAGCCAGGTAACAGGTAGGTGGAGGAGCAGAGAGAAGAGCCGGCGGGCGTGGGGGAAAGAAACAGCAGTCTGGGCTTAGCTCTGCCTGGCTCATGGGATGCAGGGCACCTCACTGTCCCTCTCTGGGCCTCCGACGTCCCAGTGGGAAGCGTAAGCTTTCAAACCCCCAGAGCAGGTAGATCTGGGTGCCCCAGGCGCTGTGGCCGGGAATACCCTGCCCCTTGGGTGGGGCTGGGGCTGGGTATTCCGGAAGCGCTCAGCCCACGCGCTTGGTGTTGATGGGAGGGGCCTGTGGTGCTGGCAACCCCTCCCTCGCATCTGACGCCAACTGACTCCCATCGGGTGGGTGACAGCGTGCCTGTTTCACAGATCTGGACACTGAGGCTTGGAGAGGGGGGTTCGCCTGCTCAGTGCTTGGACAAGCTGGACTCCCGCGCTGTCCCTCCCTGGCCCTTGTGCTGTGTGCTTCCTGGCCCCCCCGTGTGACAGACTCAAACAGGCCCCGGGGAGCTTTCTGGGCCACTGTCTTCACGTGAGCAGGTCGCCAGGCCTTTCTTCAACGGCACTGCTCAGTGGGTCCAAATCTGATAACCTTTCAGTTAGTAGAAGCCCAGAAATCATTTGCACCCAGCTTAGGAAAAAAAACATCACAGGAAGGGCCTCTCTCGTGAACTAAATTGTGTCTCCTCAGTACCCCTCCTCCCAAAAAAGGTATGTCGGAGATCTAACCCCTGTGCCTGGGAAGGTGGCCTCATTTGGAAATGGGGTCTCGATAGATGCTGTCAGTTAGGTGCATAGTTAACCCACGTGGCTGCCCACCCAGGGGCCCACGGAAGAAAGGCCTGGTTTCCAGAAACCGGCCACTGGCAAGTTGATGGAGGGCTGTTCTACTCAAATGCACTCGAGGTATCCACCAGGTGGCAATGGCTCAAGGACAGCTGGCTGCGGTCACGCTGGTGGACATCAGGTTTGGTTCAGCAGGTCAGCACCCAAAGAGGAGGATCCTCACCAAGCTGGACTCACAGCACCCGATACCACCCAGGGCCCTGTGTGATGGATGGCCCCACACGGGAGGAGAGGGGCAGAGGGGTGGCAGGCCAGTGAAGATGACCACCCGGGGCCACCAGACGCTGGAAGACATGAGGGCAGATCCTCCTTTAGAGCCTCCGGTCCTGCTGGCCCCACCCCCGGGGTTAGGGCCGCTGGCCTCCAGAGCAGGGAGACAGTCCATCTCGGTGCTCAGAAGGCATCCAGGGGGTGGTGTTTGGTAATTTGGCCACAGGGGAACCTCCACAGGGCAGTCCACTTCGTTGCACAATTTGCCCCTCACCACTCGCCCCCCTGATGGTTACTTCCAGCCAGCTCAGCAGCCTTGCAGAGAAAGCCCAGCTCCTGCAGCCCCAGGCGGGTCTGCCACCCCACTCGGCTCTAAGACTCTCAGACTTGCTGCCGCCAGCGTGGCCAGCCCCACGTTGTGTGGAGGGGACACTGAGGCTGGGTGGGAGTCGGTGGGCAGACTGGTGTCCTGCGGCCGTTGTCACACAGTACTTACTTACTCCACGCAGGGTGGCTGGCAGCTACAGGGACACGTGCTCTCCCAGTCCTGGAGGCCAGGAGCCTGAAATCAGGGTGCTGCAGGGCCAGTCCTGGAGGCTCTCGGGGGACGGTCCTTCTTTGCTGTAGAGCGCAGGCAGCCTTGGGCTTGTGGCTGCCTCCTGACAGCTGGCTCGGCTCCGAGTCGTCTCCTCTTCTGTGAAACGCGAACCAAATTCACTGCCATTTTGTCGATCCGGACTCACAGGGACCCCACAGGACAGGAGGACAGGGTGGAACCGCCCCTGTGGGTTCCCAAGAGGGCAACACTTTATGGGAGTAGAAAGCCCCATCTTTCTCACAAGGAGCAGCTGGTGGTGTTGAACTGCTGACCTTGATGGAGGGTCGCAGCCCAGCGTGTAACCCCTGAGGTGGGATTAAGAGCCAAGCTATTGCCCTTGGGCTTCATGTTCAACTAACTGACACACCTTTAAAGATGAGGTTTACAAACAAGGCTCACAGGTACAGGGGTTATGACTTTAGCTTACCCCTTTTTTGGGGGGAGGGGAAACCAAGCCAACCCAGATTAGCGTCTTATTCAGGGTGCTGGGAGCAGCCTATCGGCTGAAACCCCATTCGTCAAAAGTCCATGTGCTAAAAGCTAAATGTCCCAATTTCCTTTTGAAGAAGAGGCATTTTCGTCTTGAATCAGGGCCCAAGAATACGAGTGGAGGGTTCTAGGTCTCTCTTCCTGAAGACAGCCAGCAACGACCCTTTCATTCTAAGGGGGTTGAAGGAACGTTTGTATTTGTGATGTGTGGTCTATTCAACTCTACCGGTACCTTCTGAGGACGTGTGGGTTTGGCTCTTGTCTGCGGCTCTGGGGGGGCCCCGGGGATGAGGAGGACAAAGCTAGGGCGAGGAGGTGAGGAAGGAAACCCGTGGGCATCTGGGAGAAGTGTATTTGGTGGCTGGGACCACCAGTGCAAAGGCTCTGGGGTAGGACGGGGCCTGCTGTTTTTGAGGGGCAAGGACAGGTGAGTGTGCCCCTCCCCTCCCCAGGCTGCCCAGTGGGAGGCCACCTGAGTCGAGGTGTGGTAAACCATGGCTTGAGTCTAGCTTCTGGGGAGCAGAGGGGTCCCCGGTCCCAGTCTCCTCCCTGCCCCCCTGCCCCTGCAGAGCACGCAGTGAATGCCACAGAGACTCAGGCCATCCTCCACGGGCTGTGGCCCGGCGTGAACTATATTGTACAGGTCCGAGCAGACACGGCGGCGGGGCCCGGGGCCTGGAGCGAGCCGAAGAAGTTCAGCATCGGTGAGTGGGTGGGTGGGGGAGTCCTCTGTGCTGTTGACCCAGTGAGTGGGTGGGGCGGGGGGGAGTCCTCTGCAGTGTTGACCCGGTTGTGCTGCCCCACCCTACCCTACCTCTCCAGGGGTCTCCCCGGGTCTGCCCCAGCCTTGCTTTTCCAGTCTCATCTGCGGCCCCTCCTGGCGAACCTTCTCCTACACTGGGTGGGGGTCCAGCCATGCCAGCGCTTCTCCGGGAACGCCCTTCTTCCTAGCAGTCCAACTCCTGCCAGAGCTCATCCCTCAACAGCCAGCTCAAACGCTCCCTCTTCCCAGAAGCCCTTGCTGCCTCCCTGTGGGCGACACCCACTGCTGCCACCCCTACATCCCGCCCTGCCCCCTGGGGGGGAGTGTGTTGGGTCCTCACTCTGTCCTCCCTCAGCCTGGGGCTCTGGGAAAACTATAGGGGCGGTGGGAGGGGGGCATGAGTAGTGAACTAGTGAATGGATCGGTGGCAGACAGACTCCATCAGTCACAGAGATTCGGAGCCCAGGGACCCCCGTGCTCACCACAGAGCAGGACCAGAGTCAGGCCTGGGTTGGACTAAGCAGGGGGATGGGGGTAGGGGGTGGGGCAAGAGGGGCAGACGTCACAGGGCTCAGCCTGCAGCTACTGCTGGTGGCCATGCCCTGAGCACTCTATCATCCCAGCCCCCTGGGCAGCAGGGTTCCATGGTCCCCATATTACAGACGAGGAAACTGAGGCACAAAGGGTCCCTTAGCATGCCACAGTCAGCAG